TTCTAACGTTTAACGAAGCAGATCATAGGATTTTTATAGGGACTGGGTCCGGGATCTAAGTCCTATATAACTCTCACATGATTTAAGGACTGAATCCCTGCCGATCCTTAAAGGATCGGACTGGACCGGCTAGGACCTGATCCCTAAGGACCGATTAATATCCCTAATTTGATGAAAAGAGTGTTGCTTATTTGATTTTCACAAAAGAGAGTTACTCAATTGATTTGTATGAAAAGAGTGTTGCTCATTTAACTTGCATAAAAGAGAGTCTGTATACAAAGGCGAAAGAAAGTTAGTTTGCATATAAAGTCGTGAAAAGAGAGTTTCATATAAAGGTGTAAAAAGAGAGTTTATATATAAAGATGTAAAAAGAGAGTTTGTATATGAAGTCACAGAAAAAAGTTTGTATGTAATATCACAAAAAAAAGTTTATATGTAAAGTTACAAAAAAAAAGTTTGCATACAAAGTTGCAAAAAGAAAGTTTATATAAGAATTCACAGAAAGAAAGTTTATATACAAAGTTGTGAAAAAAGAGTTTGCATGTGAAGTTATAGAATAAAAGTTTGTATATGAAGTTGCAGAAAGATAGTTTATATATGAAGTTGTAAAAAGAGAGTTTGCATATGAAGCTGTAGAAAGAGTGTTTATATGTGAAATCGCAGAAAGAAAGTTTGTATATGAAATCACAGAAAAAGAGTTTGTATGCAAAGTCATGAAAAGAGAATTTGTATGCAAAGTCACAGAAAGAGTGTTGGTATACAAAGTTACAAAAAGAGTGTTTGCATAAAAGGTCACAAAAAAAAAGTTTTATATGAAGTCATGAAAGAGAGTTTGTATATGAAGTTGTGAAAAAAGAGTTTGTATACAAAGTTATAAAAAGAGAGTTTGTATGCAACATCATAAAAAGAAAGTTTGCATGTATTGTCATGAAAAGTGAGTTTGTATATGATGTTATAAAAAGTAAGTTTGTATAAACGTTATGAAAAAAGAGTTTATATCAAAAAGTAAGTTTGTATACAAAATCGCAAAAAAAGAATATGTATACAAAGTTATAAAAAGAAAGTTTGTATGCAAAGTCACAAAAAGAAAGTTTGCATGCGAAGTTACAAAAAAAGAGTTTGTATACAAAGTTGTAAAAAATAGTTTGTATACGAAATCACAAAAAAAGAGTTTATAGTCAAAATTACAAAAAGAGAATTTAGTTGCAAAATTACAAAAAAGAGTTTAAAAAAATATAAAATCGCAAAAAGAAAGTTTGTATATGAAGTCACAAAAAGAGAGTCTGCATGCAAAGTTATGAAAAAAAGTTTATATATAAAGTTATGAAAAAAGTGTTTGCATAAAAAATTACGAAAAGAGAGTTTGTATACAAAATCACAAAAAAAGAGTTTGTATATGAAGTCTTAAAAAGAGATTTTGTATACAAAGTTGCGAAAAGAGAGTTTGCATATGAAATTGTAGACAAAGAGTTTGCATATAAAATCACAAAAAGAGAGTTTGTATATGAAATCACAAAATGAGAGTTTGTATACAAAATTATAAAATGAAATTTGTATACAAAGTTGCAAAAAAAGAATTTGTATGCGAAGTCACAAAAAGAAAGTTTGTATACAAAGTTGCAGAAAAAAAGTTTGTATATGAAGTCATAAAAAGAGAGTTTGTATACAAAGTTATAAAAAGAGAGTTTGTATGTGAAGTTGTGAAAAGAAAGTTTGCATGTAAAATTACAAAAAAAAAGTTTGTATGTAAAATCACGAAAAGAGAATTTATATATAAAGTTGCGAAAAGAGAGTTTGTATATAAAGTTGTGAAAAAAAAGTTTGTATACAAAATCATAAAAAAAAAGTTTGTATACAAAATTATGAAAAAAGAGTTTATATATGATATTATAAAAAATAAGTATGTACATGAAGTTGTAAAAAAAAATTTGTATGCAAAGTCATAAAAGAGAGTATAAATGCAAAGATGCAAAAAGAGATTTTGCATATAAAGTATAAAAGAAAATTGTATATAAGGTATAAAAAAAGTTTGCATACAAAGTTATAAAAAGAAAGTTTGTATATAAAGACATAAAAAGAAAGTTTGTATATAAAGATATAAAAAAAGAGTTTGTATACAAAAATTTAAAAAGAAAGTTTGTATTTAATAGCATAAAGAAAAATTTATATCTAAATCAAATTCACTTAAATCTAACACAGATTCAGATAAACCCAAATCAGGTCTACTTGAATCCAACCCAGGTCTAAGTGAATTTAAAACAGATTCACTTAAACCCAATTCAAGTTCAAATAAACCCAACTTAGATTCAAGTGAACCCAACCAGGGTTTATTTGAATCTAATTTGGGTTATTAGATTTAAATCGGTTTAACTTAAACTAATGTTGTTAGTCAAAATTGTTTTATGCTTGTCAAAATATTTTGACATTTAATATTTAGGCATGCCGAAATTCTAAAATAATGCCAAAATCCTAAAATAGTGTTGAAATTCTAAAATAGTGTTGAAATTCTAAATAGTGCCAAAATGTCTAAATAATACCGAAATGTCTAAATAATACCGGAATGTCTAAATATTGTCGAAATATCCAAATATTGCTGAAATGTCTAAATATTGCCGAAATATCTAAATATTGCCAAAATATCTAAATATTTCCGAAATGTCTAAATATTTCTGAAATGTCTAAATGTCTAAATTAAAAAACATATATGATATAACGATAATATTTGTAAGTATCCAAACTTGTTTATTGTTGTAGATTTCATGCTACTTTAAAAGTATTTGATTCAAAAATGGTTGTTTTTATATACAAGCCCTCTACCAAACAGGTTTATTTATTAATTAATTATCGAACGATATCTGCTTAAAAATTTTTCCACATTTATGTGGGTTTTTTTCACTACCACTACATATGTTCAGGGTAGAGATATGATCTGATCAATTTTTTTATATAGAAAACCCGGTTTTCATATATAAAAGAATTAATCAGCTAATTCAGAAACTGGATTACTATTGATCTAAAAACAGTTACGTATTTTTATATACAAGCCCTCTTAAGCAGGTTTAGTTATATATATATTCTGAATGATATTTTTTCTGCATATTTTTTTCACACAGTACCCTGTGTACCATGTTCATGGTTCAGAGTTTGTTAATAATTATCATTATATCTTGGATCCAGATTACTATTGTGTAACTACAATTAAAGTTTATTGTGCATGAAAGTTTATCTTAAATATATCTGTGCATGATTTCATTACCGAATTAGTAATCTTGCATTTAACTCTTGTCGTAAGCAAAAGTAATAAAATAATAAGAAAGTAATATAATAATGAAGTAGTGTAAAAGGTGTCGTTAGTGAAGAATAAACTCACCTTTAAATACAAGCAATATAGATAACAAAAAGATCATGCAAAAAAAAAATGTTTACATTGATTTCAAGATTGCTAACTAGTATTTCTAATATGCATCAGCTTTACTGTACAAAGGTTTACAACATTTAAGTCTTAAAAATTATTATTTACATTTTTAAACTTGGTCATTATATAACAATAAGAAAATTAACTATTTAATTTGACAAGTTTATTTAGTAATTAGAGGCTTATACCGCTTTATTCATAGCGATAATTAACAAGTGCAAACATTATCAGTTTTTATTTATACTTTTAAAAACAATAGTAATTCAACTCTATATATATCTTATATCCTAATGATAATGTTGTGTAAATAAATGATTATTTAGCGATCAAGCTTTTACAAGTTTAAGATTGTTCAATCTTGCGATTAGTATTAGATAATACTTTGCTTTACATATTGATTAATAGTAATGGCAAACAAAGATTTATATCAATTTATTAAATCCAGTATTTAAATCTTTATAAATCGTCTATAATAATTTAGATTTAAAAAAATTTTTTTTTGAATTAATCTTTTTTTTTTGACCAAACGATCTAAAAAATATAAACTTTAATTTTCGCGATGTCTTATTTTTTTTAAAAAAAATAAGTGAACTCTATTGTGATAATGGAAATTCTCAAAATATAGTTTCTCAAGGTGAAAATTCTCAAGGTGAAAATTCTCAAGATGAAAATTCTCAAAGTGAAAATTTTCAAGGTGAAAATCTTCAAGAATCTGTTCAAAAAAATCTGCCGGACGACCACTTGCAGAAGTTTGGAATTTCTTTAACAAAGGTGCTTTTGTAAAAGGTCATTGTTCAGAACAATGTAAGGAATGTGGAGCATTTTGGGCACATGCCAAATCTGTAGATTTAGAAGAACATTTAGCTTTAGACTGTCCTAATTAAAATGAGGATATTATAGATTTTTATACTCAAATTATTTCTAATCGACAAGGTCGTAGCTAGGCAGTATCTCAGGAACTTATACCCGGTGTTAAACAAAGTAAAAGAAAGCATAAACTTGCAGGCGATCAAGCATCACTATCTGAGTTTTTAGAAAGCATCAAACTAACTTCACAGCATAAAAATAATATTAATTCAGCTTTAACCAAAGCATTTGTAGTATACAATATATCTTTTCACATTATTAGCAATCCATATTTTATTGATGCATTGTGGGAATTATGATCTGGATATCAACCACCATCAAGACAATTACTTGCAGATCGATTATTAAATGCTGAAATAATTAAAGTTAATCAAAGTATTAGAAATATTTTAGAAAAAACAAACAATTTAACTCTTGGTATTATTTATTAATTATTTGTTTAATTTATAAATTTATAATTTAATTATTTATAGTATAACGCTAATAGTTATTTCTTTTATATACCATTTACTCATTTTAGGTTTAGACGAGTGGACAGATCCAAGTAGAAAATCATTATGGAACTTTGTAATTCATACATCTACTGGACGAGAATATCTCTGGAAATTAGTTGACTTATCTAATCAGAGCCATACTGGTGAAATATTACAAGATTGTATTCAAAAAGTATTTGACGAACTTGATGTACATAAGTTTGGAGCTATAGTAACTGATGGTGGTTCAAATTGTACAGTTGCGTGACAATTAATTTCTGAAAAATATCTACATATTTTAAATTTGCGCTGTATTATACATTGTCTGAATCTAATTTCTAATGATATTTTAAAGCATAAATTTGCTAAAAAAATTCTTTATCAATGCTCTACGATCATCAACTTCTTTAGTTCATCACATCAATTATATTCTTTAATTATAAATAAAAATGTATATGGTGATGGATTAAAAAAATATACCAAGATCCGCTGGACTAGTGCATACGAATGTATCTATTCAGTATATCGTCACAAACTATCTTTAGAAGAGGTAACATATTTTAAATGTATATTTTAAATGTATAATATAATTTTATTATTTTAATTATTCTAATAAATGTATTTAAAGATTTTAGATCAAAATGTGCATTTATTCAATAACAAAACTGGAAAAATTGTCAAAATGTATATAAAATCCCGTGGATTTTTTGACAATATCTTAGATATTTCTAATGTTTTAAAACCAATTAGTAATACTATTGTGTGTCTTGAAAGCAAAACAGCTAATTTGGCTGACTGTTATTTAGGTTTTATTAAATTAGCTATTGCTATTAAAAATATTTTTCAGGATCAGCATTTAATGTTTTATCGAAAATGTACTTCAATTTTTAATGAAAGATTTTGTACATTCAACTATGATGAATATCTATTAGCATATTATTTACACCCTGAATATCGAGGTTTGTTTTTAATTTATTAAATTTATTAGTTTATACATAATGTTTATATACGGGTATTAATTAATTAATTTACAAGTAAACTAAAAATTAAACCTAATTTAATGTTAAAGTAAGGTTGGCTTAGGATTAAAAAAGATTATAATTTATGCATCTGGGCTAATTTGGGACATGTATAAAGTCTAGATATAGTACTTCAAAAATTTTTTTGATGTGGGTCAGGTCATTTGATATTATATTGTCTACTAAATAACAATGTAATTAAAATAGGTGGAATAAATTTTACGTTTAAAATGTATGTACGTATATACGTACATATGTATATAATAACAATATCGAATGGCCTGACTTTATAGAGTTTGGACTAATGGGTTTTGGGCTGAGACTAATGGGTTTAACGCATTATCTTGCATTATCTATTATATCTTTGAATTCTTTAGGGTTTTATTTGAATTGCTTAGGGTATTTATTAAGCAATTGTTCTGTATAGCAGACTAATTAAAAACAATTAATTGTAGGGTTCAAAGTAACTTTAGTACCTCTGTCTAGGGCCCAATATCTCCGATTAGCCCATATGATATATACCTGTATACAAACATCATGTACAAATAGTAATTATCTATTTAAGTTTTTATTAAAAATTATAGGTGCTGGAATAAAACAATCACAATTTGCTTGAGTAGCCAGAATTGCAGGATGTTTATGGACTAGAATGGTTGATTCAAAAATTAAAAAAGGTGATTTAGAGATATTAAAAGCACAATTACGTAAATATGCTTGCAATGAAGAACCTTATAATAGATCTTATGTATCATCTGTCGATAGTCTAACTCGATGGTGGAAAACTACAAGTGATGGTACTAAAGATAAATTAGACTACTTTCTTCTTTAGCTGTTAAACTATTTTCAGTACGTCCTCATGCAACAAGTTGTGAGCGTATATAGTCACATTGTGGATGGATTTTGAGAGATTGACGTAACAAGTTAGGAACAAGAAATTTAGAATCAATGATAAAAATAAGTTCTTATTTAATATCAAATGCAAAACAAGAATTACACTTTTATGGGTTGGAATTAACAGAAGAGGAAATACAAATAGTTTTTCAGGATATTAATTTGTTTTCTGATGATGATGATGAGGAGGAAGATTTTGATGATTTGAATGAATCTGAAGATTCTGTTGATTCTGAAGTTCAAGATCAAGACTTGGAGATAGAAAATTTAATAATTTTAAATGATATTGGGTCAAATAATAATGAAGATGATATTAATGACGATAATAATTTAGATGAGGAATTGAATAGCAATGAAATTGAAGAATTTGATGAAAATAAATTCGGTGCAGAGTTTGAATCAATGTTTGATAATTAAATTTGGGATCTTTTGCAATACAGGTAACACATATTCTAAAACAATTGATTAATATATTTTATTAATATTATTATCTATACTGCCAGAGATCCTAAATTAGTTAATTATAAAAGTTTCAAAGAATATTTTATAAAAGAAAATATTTGAGTAAATTTTTTTAAATTTAAATAAAATAAAAATTTATAGTATTTGGTTTATCATTAAAATATCTGTAAATTAATTTACTGATTTTTATAAAATTAATTTCGTAATTATTATATAAAATTAATTCATAATTATAACACAATTCCTAATAAATAAATACGAATACAACAAATTATGATAAATTAGGCAAAACAGCAAAAAATACAATATAATCAAAGAATTACTTCAGATGTCTTTATTATAAATGAAAGATCGCTAAAATAAAAAAAAAGAATCCTGACAGCTGAATTTAAGACTTATATATATAATTCATTGTTTCTTACTTTTCCGAAGTCTTGTTCTTCTGAACTCATAATACTGACAACCTTATTTTCTTACATAACATATTTTCAACGACTCATTTTACCAATAGAAATTTTTACTGAATGTTTTTTTCTGATCAAGCAATTTTCTAACAGCCCGATTTTTTGACATAATGTATAATAATAGGCTTTTTTACTAACAAGTTCTTTTTCTTGAAAATGGATTGTTAGTACTATAGTTTTGGTAAAATGGCATTTTAGTAAAATAGATTCGGAAAGTTAATCTATAACTAGCATAATTTGGTATATATGCTGTAATTTATATAAATGCTATATTTTATTATAAATATGAGAATTGCTATTAAATATCAAACCCTAATTAGAAATAACCTGTATATGTAATATACGTATAACAGATTAAGAAAAATTTTTAATAATGCACAAAAAGCAATTTTCTGAATTATAGATAATGTTTAACAAAATGAATATTTGCTTTGCAGTGTGCTACATCAAATTCAGTCATCAAATTTTAATTTAAATATGAAAATGACCTTTTCTCTTAGTTAAAAATTATAGTACCATGCTATGACATGGGCTTTTTACTCTAAGCTAACTAATAGTATCACAACTACAAAGAATTTCAACAATACTTTTAACCTTCATAACTATAGTAAGTCGCGTTTGCTATAGTTCCTGTCTCTAGCTACATGAAAAATTTAATCACATATAGATCACTTACTTTATTCTAATCAAACACAAACTATAATATAAAATCGATCTATAGTCATGTCAACAAAATTTGTCAATCCTATGACCTTGAGATAATCGGTTTCAAAATCTAGTATCAAACAAAACAGAAGCAATATTACCCAAACTATTTAGGACATCTCAAATTATGTGGTAAATACAGGTTTGGCCATCAATTTTAGACACCCTTATCAAGAACGACCCACCTCAAATAATAAAAATCAACTAACAAGTATTTAAGAGTAGGCGAGTCCGAAATTGATGATCAAAACCTGTAATATCCAAACAATTTCTGCAGTAATAATATGGTAGTAAATCTTAATGTGATATTATTCTTCACATAGTTTGAAACATCCTAAATAGTTTGAGAAACGTTACCTGATATAGTCTTAAAAAGTAACTTAAGGATAGACAAATAGAAGTAAACAAGTAAAGATGTGAATGCAGATGGGCAAGTGTAAATAAGAATGTGGATGGACAAAAGGATATAGATAGATAAGAATGTAGATAAGCATATTAAATAATTTCAGCTTAAAATAATAATCCACAAAAATATTATCAAATAGACTTTGCTTGATAGACTGAACATAAAAAAAGGATTTGGTCTTGTATTTTCAGTAATTCAGTCGAATGGTATGCGAAAATTGATAAAATCATGAAAATTACACCAAACCTTGTAAAAATCCTTCGTAGCTAAACTCACGGCTTTTCAGGACCAAAAGTACTATAAAAAATTCTGTTACAGAACTTACCAATTATTATAGTTAACAAATTTACTGGGAATGATTAAAATGTGCCAGTGACGAAACCATGATGGCAGCAATGACAAAAACACGCTATTAAGAAAGCTACAGTGGCCTATTATCTATTAACATCTGGAAAAAAAATACATACAGAGGAATAAATAAATACAGAAATAATTGACAATTTATATATTCGTATTACTTTTAATTTATACATATAGGTTTTTATTGTATATATATAATATTAGAATAATTTTATTATATTACTAATTTAGACATTTAGTTACCGTATATTACTGAATAGAAGCTACTCCCGAATAAAAGCTACCCCCTCGATTTTGGATTAAAAATTTGGAGGAAGTTATTATGTTTTAATAATAAAATTGGACCCGAATAGAAGCTACTCCCTCTTTTTAGTCCGAAAAAACTCTCAAAATTTTGGTAGCTTCTATTCGGTAATATATGGTATATAATATTTAGTCAACTATTTAGACATTTAGTCAACTATTTAAACATTTAGTCATATAATATTTATTTAGTCAGCTATTTAAACATTTAGTCAAATTTAGGATTTCAACATTTTGACAAAAAATAATATTATGTCGAAATATATTTAGACACTTAATTGCCTAAATAGTTGACTAAATAAGGTATTTCGACTAACAACATTAACTTAAACCTAACACAGGTTTAAGTAAACCCAAATCAGTCCTACTTGAACCCAAATTCAGATCTAAGTGAATCCAAAACAGAGATTCAAATAAACCTAATCTGGGTTCAAGTAAACCCAAGTTAGGATCACTTGAATTTAACAACTAAAAAAAGTAAGAACATGCACTAGAGCATTGCCTAGGTTTGAGAACTAGAAAACTTAAAAACTAAATTAAAAAACTTAAAGTCTATATTCTATTTTAAAAATTTGCAATTTTTAAATATAATAATAAAAATTAGAAATAATTAAAAACTAAAAAAATTGAAATGCACCTCTGGGATATTGCTCTAATTGGAGAGCTAGAAAACTAAAAAACTATTATTCTTAACATGTGTAAAATTTAAATAATGAAAATTATAAATAAATAAAAAGTAAAAAAATTAAAATATGCTATTAGAGCATCACTCAGGTCAGAGAGCTAAAAACTAAAAAACAATTATTTAAAAATATAAAATCTAAATTAAGACTATTATTATCAAACTTAAAACTAAAAGAAATTAAAAATGCATCTTTGGGGCATTGTCTAGATCTGAGAGCTAGAAAACTTAAAAACTAATTATTACAAAACTTAAAGTCTATATTGTAATTTAATAAATTAAATACAAAAATTAGAAATATGTAAAACTAAAAAATTAAGAACACACCCCAGAGCATCGCCTAGATTGAAGAGTTAGAAAACTAAAAAACTAATATATAATGTTGCAGATTAAATCAAATTAAAACTAAGAACCTCTCATGCCTACTTTTAGAGCCTATAAAACCTATATATACTTATTTATTAATAAACATAACCCTAAACTCTAAAGAGAACCCCAAAAAATGTCTTCAAATAATTTTAAATTTTCCTTAAAAAACAGAAAAATTTTATTTTGATTAGATTTCATTTTAATCTGTAACAGTTATTATATATTTAGATAGTATATTTTACTAGCTCTCAGACTTAGACAATGCTCTGAAGATGTGTTCTTAATTTTTTTAGTTTTAAGTTTTGATAAAAATAGTCTTAATTTAAATTTTAAGTTTTTAAATAATAGTTTTTAAATTTTCTAGCTCTTTGACTTGGCAATGCTCCAGGGTTTAGTCTTAATTTTTTTTAGTTTTAATATATATTAATAAAAATTGTTTTAATTTAGTCTTTAAGTTATTATATATTAATTTTTAAGTTTTTTAGCTTTCTGACTCAGATGCTACTCTATAGATGTGTATATAATTTTTTTTTAGTTTTAATATATATTAATAAAAATTGTTTAAATTTAGTCTTTAAGTTATTATATATCACAGATTGAAACAAAATCTGATCAAAATGAAATTTTTCTGTTTTTTAAGAAAAATTTAAAATTTTTTAAAAAACATTTTTGAGGGTTCTTTTTAGCATTAGAGGTAGGATTTAAGATTAGGTTTATTAATAAATGAGTATATGTGAATTTTATAGGCTCTAAGAGTGAGCATAAGAGGTTCCAGTTTTAATTTAATCAGATTTTTTTTTTTTTTTTACTTCAGCGATCCTTTCTTTTTTTTATAAAATGGCTATAGAATACAAATAGATATTCAATTTAGCTAAATCCACATTATCCTTCATAAACTATTTAATATCTGTCCAAATAAAGAATCTCTCGATCTATCTCATTATCACGACCTAATCCTAGCTCACCAGAATTAAGCACTAGAGTATGACCCAGGAGCGACCCGTCTAAGTAAATATTTTCCTCCTATATTCAACATCCAAGCCAGAAGGGTTTTTTCTAGTAGTGATTAAACAAAAGAAAAATTGTGGATAGTAAGGAAAGAAGAACAAGAAACAACTTAGAAAGCACTCACTATGATAGAACCTCGCAAAAACTTTGTATTCTCTTGCCGCTTTTTTTTTTTTACCAAAATTTTCGACAAAAAGTAGGAGATTTGGCTACCCCTCTCCAAAAGATCAGCAAAAGATTGGCATTGTTTACCATTTCCATTTTCAGAAAATCTCGA